GAATGCCTGTGTTGCAGTTTGACACTCATAATTCACCCTGTTCAGGAGAGATCAGATCTAACCTGCTGGAAAGAGACTACGGCCTCCAAATCCATCATAGGAAGACCTCAAGAGATCAAAACAATAGCACTGTGGAACAGGTAAATGTGATCTTAGAACATAGGCATTTCCATTAAAGAAATAGAATTATCAATAACATTGCTAAAGATGTAAGAAAGACCTCACTTGAAATTTAAGTACCTGAAAACATACAGATCTAGTCCCCATTTTTCAAGAATAACGCATTCTAGCTGGCCAAGAGGAAAGCTTTTATAGCAGCAGAGACTAAAGGGAGCCCAGCCCATTTAGCTCCTTGCAACATGAAAGCTGTCTATTAATTCATTAGGGAAGCGAGACCCCGAGAGAAGCAGCAACTATTTAACGTGAAACCTACCGCTGGCTAAGAACAAATAGGTATAAATTGGCCATGGAAAAAACGGGGTGGGAAATTAAAAGAAAAATCCTGTTTGTTGGAGCTGGTGGATTCTGAAATATTTCGAAAAATATGTGGGTTTGTCTCCACTAGTCCTAACCTTTATTAGGATGGAAGCTGCTATGTTTACAAAATGAATGATTACTGGGCTCCATGGACACAGGCTCCTTGTAGCGCCATGTTTTAAACAACCAGTTCTATAAAATTTGATTTTCCATCCTGCAGTGAAAACACCAATTTCAAATAGCAGCAGCTAATGTTGCCAATTTAGAGCCACATGCAACTGCTAAATTTAAGTTAATAACAAAAAAAAAAAAAAAAAATCCTAGTGGGTTTCTGAATAACATAAGCAACCACTTCTTACCAGATAGTTTACTAAAATTTTACCGTTTATAGGAAGCTATTTGGTTTTGGTTACTCAATGGAACAATTCTAACCAAAATTCTGTGCAACACTGCAGCATCTTTGAAACAAACGCCATATCAGAGATCACAATGGAATAAAACCCCACCACCCTGAAGTCCGTGATTCATTAAAAAAACCCAAACACAACAGCCAAGTGATCTATTTTGACAAAAAAAAAACAAAAACAAAAAACCAAACAAAAAATACTCCCCAAAGCTTATTAGCCAGCACACATCTCCTCCTTTAGCCATTCCATAAGAAGCTAACACTTACCATACATCTCGTCTTCCAGGCCATGAACAAAAGCCCCACAAGCTCCCGATTCAATCAAGTTTACAGCACCTGTATCTATTTCTTCTTTGGGAGCATCATCTCCCCACTTTCTGCCACTTGAAAACTCCCCAGAGCTGTAGAGTTCTTTGGCTCGTTCATGTGCAGTGCGCTTCCTCTGTCCAAACAAGTTTTTCAGTTACAACCATGGTAAACTTTAAAGACGACCGAACAAAATATTAAATGGCTTTATTGGATTTGAAAACAGATGTAGCTAGAGGCTTAGACATTGACAGAGACAGACAAATGCTAAGAAAAGCAAGTAATACCTTCTCTTCTATGAATATCTCTAATTGCCAGTAACTTTTTGTACTTTTGATGTTGGGACAGGGTAATAACTAATACATTTTAATTAACATATTCTTAGACATCCATTAGAAGAACAGCCAAACTGGGTCAGAGCAAAGGCCCATCTAGTTAAAGTATCCAATAACTGATCTGCAAAACAGATGCCATCACTTTGCAGTTCAACTTGTTAAACTGCAATTAAATACTTCAACGACTACCGATACTACAAGCGTTCAGCCATGTGTAAAACACGATATTCATTTGACGTGCTCACTAGTCCATCTCCTTTCCCCCCCCCACACTGTAAAAGCAAGCTGTGCAGCACTTTCTTTAATGGACTTTACAAAGCATCCCACAAAAACTAGCAGCTCTAGCTTCACCATTCTTTTGTAGACAGAAAAACTGAACATAACACCTCAAGCAAGTTGCTTAAGGAAGGAATTTTACTGAAAAGTTTTGCTCACAAGGCTCAGGGGTCCCAGCCTCTAGCTACTCATGTCTCTTGAAGTGTCTAGGTCTACTGCTCGGATCTTGCAGGAATTTTCCATAAGCTTGCTCCTAAAACCAGGATGCAATCTTTCCGTACATGATCAATAAGGCTTTTAGCCAAAAGGCTGTCAGAAGAACACAAAGGTTTTCCTCTCATCTGCGAAATCTGAATAGCCTAGAGCTGTTTATTACATGCTTGGCTAATGAAATCTAAAACTAGCAATTGCTTCATTGACTTTAATCTAAAAGAAAACCTGTCATCATCAATTAACTTTCAGCAGCCCTGAGGCAAGGACATGGTAAACAAACACACTCAACATTAACACACCCGTTGTGTGATGTTAATAAACTACACACCTTGAAAACAACCCCAAACATTTACATACCCTCAGATCTGACATGAGTTTCTTGTCAAGGGTCTGCTCTAAGAAATGGGAGCTAACCTGTTGCATAGAACCCTAAAGAAGGGGGGGAAAAAAAAAAGAAAAATCAAAAGGAAGAAACATGATTATTCTAAATTACACCATATAATTTCCTGATTTATCCTAATACAGTGTCCAATCTTATCCACTCATTCTAATAGCTTTATACAATGCTTGACACTACCGTATGTCAGAGTCTAAAGAAGTTTACTTAACACGGTCAGAACATCTTATTTTCCTAGAGGTTAATACAGTCTTTCTTGAGTTCAGTTGCTTTACATGTTCTGTGCTGGAGAAGTAGGGGGAGGGAATTATGCCAAATACTTGTTTTTTTCTTGGATACCCAACCCTCTACTCTCAAGGAAAGAATCACTGCAGAGTTCAGCTGAGAAACCTTTGGGTTTCCTCAACCTCTCTCATTTCTTTCTTCTCAGAATTTTGGTAGAAATTTACCTATCAGTTTTTAAACATCCTCCCGCTTATTTTCAAATATACGTGAAAAGTAAAGTGACATCAGATGAACTATTTTCAGATAGAGAAGAAAAGAATGCAACTTACCAATAACTTAGCAGCTTGTACTCTAACAACCCAGGAACCATCGCTAACCATATGACAAATTTTTCCAAATGCATCATCAACCAAGCGAATTTCTTCATTAGAAGAAGGAATCGGGACGATGCTAACAGAGAGAAACGTAAGCCAGCGTGCTGATCTTATGCCATGCTGGATGGCATCAAGCAAGAAACAACTATGCTGAATTCCTATGGATGCGCAACAAATACCAAGAACCTAAACTTCACCCGGATCAGCGCATTCTTATCAGGTATCAGCAATTTGTACACATCTGATTTCTAACAGCTACTCCTGAGATTTACTGGCACAAAACTCTTGGGATTAGGATGATTACTATGCCGATACTTTGAGTCACTTTGCATAGGGCACATACCTTTCAGGGTAGAGTTGACTGAGGACCCAAATTAGCTGCACCGCAGCACTGCGCACTTGCTCATAATCATCTGCCAACAGCTTGCAGGCCTGAAAGAAGAGTCACAGTCCAACATACCTGAAACATCTCCACCTGAGCTGTCATTCACTGCCCACAGCGCAATTAGTATCCTTACCGTGAATCAGTTAGGACAGATTATAAAATTCAGCCTTCCCTCCTACTCCCTAGGATTTCCAAGTTTCATTAGGTAGACTAGTCCTAATAAAGTCAATCAGGAACATGCTGTAAAACTCCAGAATTGCCTGTACTATGCAGGAAGCACAAAACGTGAATCTGTAGTACAGCTAATTTGATACAGGCTTCAGCTGCACAACCTTACTGACATAACAAACATAGGCTTAATGTGTACTCTCCAATGAACAAAGGTTTCAGACTTTGAGATTGCCAGAGGACAGTAACAATTACATAAAGCCTCGTCCTTCCCATGATTATCTCCCCCAATAAACAATATATTCCAATCAAAGCACATGCTTTACTGCATTTAAGGACAACGAGATGCAAAACAGATTTTTGTTTCCACTGCCATATGGCAATAAGGAATATAGGCCACTCAAGTGCTCCACCCATTCAATGCCCTCCTCCTCTCAAAGCACATTGTCACAGAATCGAAAAAGCAAGATATGCAAACAAGTACAAAATAAATATAAATTAATATAAGGCTTTACCTGACTGTAAATAGCCTGCTGTAATTTTAATCCCCTTTCATGAAGCTGCAGCTACAGAAAAAAAACAAAACACACAAGAAAGTATAACTATAGGTTTAAGTGACACAGACTAAGTTTTCACCGCTGTTTTTTCTGCTTTGAGTAAACTTAATTGCTTGCATTTTTTGATTGCTGCTATAATTAAAATATTTCGTTATCTTGGCCACAAGTATTTTAAGTAATAATCTTGACTTCAGTATAATTTCTTTAAACTTCACAGCCATTCATACTTTGATTGATTAGGAAAACACAATTTCTATAAGTACAGTGTTTATCCGTTCTCCCAACTTTCAAACAATTGTTTAGTGTTAGCCATATTCAACCACAGTTACAACAGACATCGGTATCTTCAAAATATTTAGTTTACTACCACTCCTGAAACATGGACCCAAAACTAGCACTGTCAGTGACTTTTCATGCCCTGTAAACCTTTTCCATTACCAAACCAGAGGAACAGCAAAAACTGTCCTACTAAACACTGTTTCTATCTGGAATAAAGTAGTATCATGAATCTGACTTATAACCAAAGGGATAATATCTGGTTGAACACTGTCAACAAGAAAGCAAACAGTTGCTTTTCTATACCCACTTCTTCAAAGTAAAGCATGCCAGTGACAAAATTCAAGGAAGAAAAAAAACCAACATAACAAAAAAACCAAAGACCCATACACATCGAAAACCATGATCAAGAACCCTAAAAGTGGTTAGCGACCCTGAATTCATTCAGGATGCTTCCGCGCTTCAAACAACAGAAGGACAGTTGACTTTGTGCTGTAATTATAAGTTCGAGGTCACAGACCTTGCTATGGATTTGGTTGAATGCCATCGCAAAAGACACTCAAATGACTTTTAAAAAAAAATTGTCCCAAAAAACCCAGACTGAAACAAAAAAGAAGGGTGAGTGCAACCTCCAGCAGAGGGAGATCCCAGACAGATTCAAGTGCAATCTGATCTCAAACATATCCTGCTTCTTTCTTTGGAGTTTAGTATCATTAATTCAAATTCCCTTGGTCACCATCAGGTTAGATGGGGTACTGTTTTAAACTTTAAGGGTAATAGAGGAGCTTCTACATACTCACAAGCAAAATTCTCAAGCACACGGTCTTTGCTTGCATTTCTGCAAAGCTAAAAACTTCTGAAGGGTCCCCACACTCCAGCCCACGCAAAAACCAGTTAACCTCATAACCAGTTAGGGAATGCTAATGAAGGTGACCATGGGGCAAAACATAAATGTTGTTTAAAAACAAACAGACAAAATTCTTTCTGGACTTATCACACAGGTTTCCTGTCATAAGCAGCTTTCTGTAGTGTGTTGGAGTACTTGTGGCTTATTGACACTGTGGTAACCAATGCTAAATCAAGAAATACAGATTTCTCAGTAAAAGAAAGAATTTACATAAGCTCAAAAAATTCAACAAATTGAAAAGCTCCTTCAGCTATAGCTGAAACAAAAATTTTTATGAGTCACTAAAATGCCCTTTGAGATCTCACATTACTCTCATATTTCACGACCTAGCTTATTTTTTCCTGGTAACTGATAAGCTAAATGGACTTTTACTGAGTTAATTAAACAATCTCTAATCCAAACCTCTTTGGATTAGTTTGCAACCCCTTACCAGCTTTCTTATATAATCCCAAACAATTTATTCCACTGTACCAGCAATCCTTACCATGGCTTTTATAGCTGCTGTCCTGACACGAGGGTCCTGGTCATTAAAATGATCTCCTATTATCTTCTGGACATCTTTGGCAGCCTGGCTTTCAACTTCTTTTGCAGCACCTTTTTCCACTGGTCCAAGACACCCAATTAACTGAAGACACTTATTTCTTACACCATGGGAAGAATCCGTCAGATGCTGCGGAAAGGAAGAGAATAATAGACGTAACTGGATTCTTATTGCTCTTTCACCTCTTCGAAACAACTAAACATACCAAGATTCCTAGCTGTTAAAAATGTCAGTACTGTAACAGTTTGTTGAGAAAAATGAAATTAATTTAAACACTGATTACATATTTTTTTTCCTGTGGCAGTGATAAAAGTTTCCCGCCCCAGGGAGGCCGCCTTACCTTGCAGGCTACCTCTACCAGCCTCATCCTGACAGACGGATTCTCTGTGAGTTTTGTGCCGATCACCAACAGGGTGTCCAACAGCTGAGCAAGGACTTGGTGAGACTCTGCAAAACAAAACAGTGAAAGGCTGCGTACCTCTTTACTGAGCTCCTCACCAGCTAAAGAATCACAGAATCATTTCGGTTGGAACGTCCTCCTGAAGCCTTCTCCTTTCAAAGGCCAGAACAAGCCCAGTTTCCTCAGCTTCTCCTTGCACATCACGTACTCCCACCCTCAACCACCTCAGTGGCCATCTGCAGAACTCACTGAACCTTACCAGCACTTATCTGGCACTGGGGAGCCCAAAACTGGATGCAGTATTCCAGATGTGGTCTAACCAGTGCTGAGTAAAAGGGAATAATCCCCTCCCTTGATCTGCTGGCTATGCTCCTGTTGACAGAGCCTGGTATGCAGTGAGCCTTCGCTGCTCACTCACATTTAGCCTACCGTTCACCTGGACCACCACAACATTCTTACCTCCAAATTGGAGAGATATGGGTTTGATGGATGGACCGTTCGATGGATAAGGAATTGGCTGGATGGCCATGTTGAAAGAGTTACAGTCAACAGCTCAGTGTTCAAGTGGAAACCAGTAGCAAGGGGTGTCCCTTAAGGGTCTGTACTGGGACCGGTACTGTTCAATATCTTCATCAATGACAAAGACAGCGGGACCGAGTGCACCCTCAGCAAGTTTGCAGATGACACCAAGCTGAAGGGTGCGGTTGACACGCTGGAGGGCAGGGATGGCATCCAGAGGGACCTGAACAAGCTTGAGGCGTGGGGCCAGGCGAACCTCAAGAAGTTCAACAAGGCCAAGTGCAAGGTCCTGCACATGGGTCAGGGCAATCTCCAGTATCAATACAGACCAGGGATGTCTGGATTGAGAGCAGCCCTGAGGAGAAGGACTTGGGGGTGCTGGGGGATGAAAAGCTGGCCATGAGCCAGCAATGGGCACCCGCAGCCCAGAAAGCCAAGCGTCTCCTGGGCTGCATCCCCCGCAGCGTGGGCAGCAGGGCGAGGGGGGGGATTCTGCCCCTCTGCTCCGCTCTGGGGAGACCCCTCTGGAGCCCTGTGTCCAGCTCGGGGGTCCTCAGCACGGGAAGGACATGGAGCTGTTGGAGCGGGGCCAGAGGAGGCCACAGCAATGGTCCGAGGGTGGAAGAGCTCTGCTGGGAGGGAAGGCTGAGAGCGCTGGGGGTGTTCAGCCTGGAGAAGAGAAGGCCGCAGGGAGACCCTGTTGCGGCCTTTCAGTACTTAAAAGGGGGCCTACAAGAAAGATGGAGAGAAATTTTTTACCAAGGCCTGTAGGGACAGGACAAGGGGCAACAGTTTTAAACTGAAAGAGGGTAGGTTTAGATAAGGAAGAAATTTGTTATGATGAGGCCTGGCCCAGGCTGCCCAGAGAAGCTGTGGATGCCCCATCCCTGGAAACATTCAAGGCCAGGCTGGGTGGGGCTCTGAGCAACCTGGTCTAGTAGAAGGTGTCCCTGCCCATGGCAGTGAGGTTGGACTAGATGAGCTTTAAAGGTCCCTTCCAACCCAAACCATTCTGTGATTCTATAAATGACATTAAAATAAAATTAAACTGCATCAAGTAAAGCACATACAAACTGTGAATATAACAAAGAACAAAAAATGGACTTGAATGAAGCCACAAACCGGACAACCTATATTTTACAAATCCAATGCTAACACACTACTGCCTTCTTGCATTAGCTCTGATAAGCTAGCCTGTAGCATGGTAAGAAAAACACTCCTCTTCAAACAAGATTCCATTTTAACCAAGACTGTTCTCTAGAACAGAGCGCTTCAGAAGCAGCAGCTCTCACACAGAGATGCAAAAGCAAACTTTGCACTCCCTTAAAACAAAGGTATACAGCAGGCAGGTCTGAGGAACATTCTTCTCCTCCTCAGACGACGGCATTTTCTGTCATCTTTCACAAAAGCAGAAAATAAATACTCTGAGCAACAATTCCCAATTATACACTCCATATGTAAGGGCCTTGCCGCTGTCCTAAATGCTTACGTGATTCTGCCTTGATCTCAAGCACCACCCGAAAAGTGAGACTTACTCTCATTTTGAAGCGTGTTAATGGCATCATCCATAATGCAATCTGGGGAAAATCCTGCAGTCTTCGATAACAAGCCCAGCAAGGAAGCAATCTTCAATCTTACAGAGGCATCGTTCTCCTGGAAGGAAACGGCAGACACCCTCATTCATTTTCCAGTTTGAAGAGCATAAAACACTACATACAGGCAGGACCAACACACGATGGAGCACAAGGGTCTGAACTTTCCTGTTGGGCTACCTCCTCCTTCGTACATCCACAGCACGCCCCACAGAAAATTAACCATACCAGAATGTTTATGTGGCAGCTTCCAGTTCACTTCAAAATGATTCTTTTACTCATAGTTCCTCAAAATTACCTTCACACTGTTTGCAAATTCAAAGTTTAAATAAATCAGGTTTTCAAGATGCTGGAAAATTCAGTGTTGATAATGTTAGTATCTTCACAAGTTTTTAATGAACAAATGGGAAGATTTTAGAAGATGAACTGCGACTGATGGTCTCTTGACCTCTGCTAAGCAGCAAGGTATGTGGGCTACAAAAAACAACTGTTTCTCTTAATAGTGGGGAGGAATCCTGCATATCTTTTTCAAAAGAAAGAAACCCAACACAGCAAGGTTAAAAAAAAAAAAATAATAATAGAAGCATGTGCTAGCTGCATACATCTGCTCATTTAAGCAACAGCAAAAGCTGTCACAGCTGAGAATTACAGAAATAAGCTTCACAAATTAGTATTCATTTCAAATTCATTCTAAAAGTTTACGCATTTCAAAGTTATTATTTTGAGTCTTCTACAGACTTGTGCACACAAGACTTCTGGTCATAAGTGGAAGCTCTCTTGCATCATATTGCCAGGGATATCCAATACAAGGTAGAAAGGCAAAAAGAAGTCTGGATTTCATACTTAGGTCTTACCAAGCAATGGTGCAACGCTGAACACAGAGGTGAAGAAATATTACAGTTACAAATATTACACCTTTCAACAGGTGCAGAAATATTACAGTTACAACTTTTATGTCTTTCAACAGTGTACAGGAGAGACTTCAATGGCGCAACACTCCCCCAAGGGACAAATGTGATACCTGTAGGTGTAATCTCTTTCTCAACTGAGCTGAGAAGCATTTTCTTTTTCAGGGCCAAAATTATGTGCTTGAACAATGGTTACTGTCATTGGACTACTCACAACAGTGGTAGGATGCATGGATTTCCACAGTGTAATACATTTGATGTTTACTCACCGTTACTCACGTTCTTTTAACAAAAGGACTACTCTCTCCATGAATAGAGATAAAAATCAATGATTTTAAAAAGGACACCTATAAAGGCACTTTTTAAAGCCTTATGAATAATGCCTGCAATGTTTTCGTTACCGAGTTACGAGCAGCCTCCCACTCCAGAGGGCATTTCTTCCCTCCTTCTAATGGTTCATGAGCAGGAAATTAGAGCAATTTATCTTTTTAGTTTACAGGTCTGATTGCCATCTCCACGACCAATACACCACTAAGCGAAGGTGCCTCTAACCCCTCGTCCTGACCACCCTTGGGAGTCAGGAAGGGACTTTAGAATCACTGTTTGAGGACACGCCGTTGCTGAGAGCAACACCAGCTTACAGTATCCTGCCCCCCCTGTTGCTACAACGCTTTGCAGTCCTCTAGCTTTTTAAAAGCTGGTTTCTGTAACAGGCTGTGCACTGAAAATGGGACCTCATCTGTAGATTTAAGAGTCTCTCTTCTAATATAGGCTACAATACAAACTTCAAACACCAAATAACTTGCGGTATTTGATCAGGAACCACAGCTTTCTTCATAGAAAGCTACGGAACTACACCAGGTTAAGTTGCACACTCTTTTGAGTTGGGACTAGTCCAATGATGAAAGTACGTTCCCATCCAAAAAAAAAAAAAAAAAGGAAAACAGTCTCAACACACAAGCCAAATCAGGTAGAGTACAGAAATAGATAAAATGCAACTTAGAGCTTTAGTGTAAGTTCAAAACAAAATAGACTCAATTGTTAAAAAAAAAAAACAAAAAACAACAGACCAGCACAGGGACTTTTATGAGAAATGTTTCAGCCTACAGTGCAGCTTTATCAGCCACCATAAAGCTTTGCTTTATCAAGTGAAGGATCAATATCTGGATACTACAAAGCATATATTACTTCTGTTATTTATTCGTTATTTTGCTGTTAAGAATTTTGTGTTGAAAAGTTTTTCAGAAGTGTCATTTTAAAAAGGGCTTTACCTGCAGCATAAGCAATAGCTAAAAAGTTTCTCCACTGTTAGAAGAAACCAAGAGCAAGGTAAGGAAACATCAGTCAGGAATGATTCAGATAAAGTTCAGCCAGCTTTGGACAGCCAGGTTCCCTGGAAAACTTGTCATGTCTTTGTGCCTTGTTAATTTAAGCCCAATCACGCAGACCATCTGCAGGGATAATGTAGTCACATCCCCGTCACTGGCTCCTGAAACCATCAGCAAAGGCACCAAGTAACATGACCAGGAATCAGTCAGGTAAAGGACTACAGTTGCTCACTCTCCTCACAGAGGGCTTCCAACAGCCCAGGCTGTTGGCAACTGAGTCAGGACCAGGAGCCTGTGACTCTCTATTCCAAATCCAACCCCAAGAAAACAAGACCAGAAGGAGGATTCTGGAAGCACACTTGGCTCCCAGCTTCACCACCTTGTAATAATGCTCCAGCAGGATCCGAACAACCCCTTCCACGCTCTCCACTTCCACGGGTTTCCTGGCAAACTGGAGCAGGTACTGCAAGGCATCTGCGGGTGAGGTGGCTTTGCACAGGTCGACATGGAGCGCCGCTGACTTGCTGGGCTTGGTCAGCCGCAGCTTCTTAGCGGACAGGTCCTCGTGCTGCTGCTGCGGGCAGAGAGGCACGGTTCAGAAACACAGAGCAAATCCTGACTCGCTCCTTCCTGGTGTGAACACTGTCTCAGCACCAAGCCTGAGAAAGCTCCTGTGCCCCAGGGCAGTCACTAAGCCCCTCCCTCATCCGTCTTAGGCAGGAACACATCCTGAGCCCCCCGGGACTGTTCCTGCACTGCCCAGGTAGCCCCTATCCCCGGGAAACACTGCCTGGGGCAAATCCTGCCCCTTCCAAACCCAGACAACCACCCCAGGGCAAACATGGCTTCTCCCATGGCCACCAGCCTAGAGCATCCGAGAAACTCACCACCGTGGCCCCATCCCGGGCTGGGGGAAGCGGCCTCCTCCACCCGCCGGCAGTCAGTCGCTCCCTCCCCGCCCTGAGGGGAGCACTATGCCCCCCTCACACACCCGAGCCATCCCCCTTCCCTCCAGGCAGCTCCGACCTCCCTAAACCCGGGGCCAATCCGTCCCGCTCCCCCCCAGCCCCTCACGGGCCGCCCGGGCCCCAAGGCCCGCACCCCAGGGCTAGGCCTCGGGCTAGCCTGGCGGCTTTTCCCACAGCTCCGCCTCACCCACTGGCACCGCTCGCCGCACGGCAGCGCTCGGGACTGTCCCCCCCGCCCCGCTCGGCCCGCCCCGGCCCGGCCCGGACCGGGGGCGGGGCGGTAGC